ATTGGTATCCATAATAAATATTTTTGCCCCAATTTGGTAAATAATGATCTAGAAAGAGGGAGAGAGCAAGTAGTGCTGTAAATGAACCGATATTTATGTCACGAACAATTATCAAGCTACAAAATGAGAATTGTAAATTAGATTTCTAGAGAGACAACAAATTCAAAATTAATCTAACTATATTTTTAAGGATGGGTTTGGTCATCCTACCTCTTATATATTAAAAAATAAAAAATAAATTTTACTTTATATTTTCTATAAAATGAAAATGGTAAATATATTAAACTAGTAGAGTGCACTAACAATTTGATTTTTTTTTTTCTCATATGCCACATCAACATCTTTAGGTTAACCAAAAAAAAAAAAAAACTATTGATTATCTTTTGTAGGGATAGAAATTTGAAATGCCAAATCCGAGCACCACAATGCACCGCCACGATGAGGCGGTGGAGAGGTTTCGAGGCATGATTTGCGTGCCACTGTATTAGTTATTTAAAATAAATTCAAATTTTGTTTAAATTCATTTTATCTCAACTTTTTTTTTTCTCAAACTCGAACTCATCACACAAGACTATAAGCTCAATTCCCAAATAATTCTAGATTTTGCTACTTTTTTTAAAAACCCATCACCACTTCATTGTCATCCCTAATCTTAAGGACTTTTCTTAATTGACATATTCTTCCTAGAAAGAAAAATAAAAGCAGAACTTTCAAGGAAATAAATTGAAAAATGAAGGTATTTAACTATTAAAAAAAAACATTCAAGAAAAGCTAGTGAACGTTGCAAAATGATATATATTAAAAATTTATAAACTTTGCTATATAATCAGTTTTTAACAACATTCAATAAATGTTGCAAAGAATGAAACTCGAACATTGCAAAATGTGACATTAGCAATGTGCATTGAAAAAAATGTTGCCAATCTCAATTATTTTAAGTAATGGTAACATTCACTTATTAAAATACTGCGACAGACCCCTTTAGCAACACTCAATTACCAAATGTTGCATTCTCAGCATTGCAAAATGATATTTTTGTTGTACTGTACCATATAAATAAACATGTTTTATAGTATATATGTTGCGAAAATATTGACCTTAAATAGATATACACTTTTACTAACTAAATAAGATAAGGTAAAAAACTCAGAAGATATATAAGCAAATAGAGGTTAAATTAAATTTTAGGATGTATTATATGAAGCGGTAATTTATTCACTCAATTAATTAATCAAAGGACGTGTTAAAAGTCGCTCGCTATTTATTTGATTGATTGAATGCACTTTTTAATTTAAGGACATCAATATAGAGGGGAAAAAAGTTTAAAAGATCCAACGCAACCCAAGTCTAGGAACGCCGTTAATCCAAGCAATTGTAATTCTAACACAAAATGCATCATCTACGCGAGATTGGAGAAGTGGGAATACTTGGAAGTGATAGCTGTCATGTGCTTAGCCATGTGGAGGATATGATCCACCTCTGATTCAATCACATTTTGGCCTTGCAAACAGGAAAAATGGCGGCAGTAACTAATTCATGAGTTTTTCAGAATAAGGAGAAGCAACTTCTGGCCAAGTCATCAACATGTCCAAAAGTTTATTTACTACTTCTCAACATGCTTCATATAGACAAATACAGATAGTAGCAAACACTACAGGTTTCCACCAGCCAGCTATATCTCGGTGTTCCTCTTTAATAAGGTCACCAAAAAGAGCCTCTCTCTTTGACGAACTCTTAAAGAAAATCAGGGCTAGATTTACCAGATGGGAGAAAAGTTTCTATCAGGTGGTGGGAGAATCTCCATTGTTGAAAGTTCTCTATTCTATGCCTGTCCACCTCCTTCAAATTCTCAAGCCTCCAATATGTGTTTATGAGCTAGAGAGACTTTTTTCTGCCTTCCTGTTGGGACTTGGGAGACTCTTCTTAAGGTAGACACTCATTGGGCTTCTTGGAGAAAAAATTGCAATCCTACGGATGAGGGGGTCTGGGGTTCAGATTGGGAAATATTGAAAATGACCTAAATAAAAGGTCATATTTCCAAACTAACATTTGACTATTTTAACAAATGAGACTACCTAAAATACCCCAATATAAAAAATTCAATCAAGCTATTATAATATAAAAGATTTCAAAGAAACCCTTAAAAATTCCACTATAATTTTTGTAAACCTTCAATTTTATTTTGAGATTTATTTGATAACCTTTAATTTTTTTTAGATTTATTTGATTTTTGTTTGCTCATAGTAGCACTCCCTAATTGGTATGAGAGTCATAAAGATCATGGAAATTATAATTAAGAGCCCATTTGGTACACATTAAAATGTGAGAATGCATTTTTTTGAAGTGATGTGATGGAAAATATATGGTTGAAAAAGAAGGAAAAGTTATTAATGTGATTGAAAATATTATTTTATTGAAAAATGTGTGGTTGAAAATGAGTATTGAAAGAATGTATTTTGAAATAATTTGTACCAAACATGGGCTATATATAAAAATGGAAAAAAAAAATCACAAAACAGAAGTGATGTGATGGAGAATATGTGGTTGAAAAAGAAGGAAAAGTTATTGATATGATGAAAAATATTATTTTATTGAAAAATGTGTGGTTGAAAATGAGTAGAAGAATGAGAATGAAAAAAATAATGTGGCCCAAACATGGGCTAAATAATTATTATAAATTAGAAGAGGAAAGAGGATGTTATATATTTTTAGAACCTATTCCTAATAGATTAAAAATAATAACATTAATAATAATTAAAAAACTACCTATAGAAATAAAAGAGCAAATATTAGAGAGACTCATAATAGAATCAATAAAAGAAAAATATATATATATGAAAGAATCATTAAAGAATTTGAAGATAAAGAAAATATTTTATATTATAATGAAAAGTATGAATTATCGTAGAGATTCGTCCCTTATAAATAAATACTTACCAGAAGATATTAAAATAGATTTAGATAAAAAAAAAAAAAAAATTAAGAGCCAAGGAAGCTTTAGTAAGACATATAATATATATATATGCTTACAACCAGAACAATCTATAAGAGAGAAAAAACTTATACAGAATTAAAAGGAAAAGGACTAATAGTAATAAGAAAATATTATGAAAAAAAAATAAAATATCTAGAAATATACAACTGTTAAAGACTTAGATAATTACATAGAAAAAGAAGAAAATAACTTTAAGTTAAAATTAAAAAGAAAACAAACAATAAATTTAATAAAATTTTTGAAGGAACAACAAGAGGAAAATGAAGATAAAATGTGTAAAACATATTACTATATAAAAACTTTAAAAGAAATTAAGAAAGGATAATGGATTTACCAGAAACAAAATTCGAAAAACAAGTAATAGAAAATTTTAGATTCCCAATAGGATCTTATGAAATAAAAGGAGCTAATACAACTATGTTTCAACTATTAAGCTCATGAGGAGAATCTGATGAGTTTCTCAATATGCAATTAAATTGGATAAGAGCTTTTTTATGGCAAACCTATAAAAATATAAATCCACAAGATAAAATAGCCATAGAAGAATTACAATAGTAATTACAGGATAAAAATGTTAAAGAAAAATGACTAGATATCCAAAATAAATTAACAATACAATTTAAAGAATTAAAAGACATGATAGAAGATGTTAAAAATATAGATGAAAAAATGATAAGAGAATTCCAATTAAAATCAGGAGAAATAATAAACCAAGATAAAATTGGGATGATTATAGAGAAATTGGAAAAATTAAAAGAAAAAATTATAGTCTTCCATCTTTTTCCGTGACGACGATCAACCTCTCAGGAGGAAGGGGGTCGACCTAATAGCCTAATCCAGGTAACAATAAAGCTGAATGTACAGCTTTGGTTGACAGTTTTTTTCACAGTCTCCTCGCATGGGTTGGGGCCCACAATCGCGGGCCACACCCCCATGTGAGAGGGCTGTGAAAAAAACTGTCAACCAATGCTCTAACTCTAACATGATTTTCCAGGTAAAGGCTCTAAAGTCCCCGCATGTCTTTGTATAATTCTTTTCATATTACACAATGGTGGGGTATCCTAACCCGACAAGAATTTGAAGGTGATGCTTATACCCATGCCGGAGTGGCTTTAGCCAAAAGGATAAACTCATCTAATCCTTAATTTAAATTCTAAACATAGAATCATCTAATCATTAATTTAAATTCTTTTGTGAAGTCTAATTGAAATACTCGAGATAATCCCTGTTAGTTATAAATTAATTCTTATGTGCGAGCGATTATGAAAACACAAAGATTGTAATGTTTTTATTAAAAAGAAATTAATTCCTCGTGTAACGATAGAATGAGCAAGTAATATTGGTCCGTAATTGTGCAGAAATACTCACAAGAAGTACTTCGCGAAATTAAAAAATAAATGTTGAAGCTTTAAAATTTATTTCTGCACTTTTTATTCAAGTGCAAAAACTGTAGTACATGCATATATACTAACAAATCGAGATTCCCACTCTTACATAAAATAACATGTGACCCACAATCTCAATTTTCATGCAACCACATTTTGTGCCGTTATAGCCAAGCAGACGGACACTTTCTTTGTAAGTTGTTTAGACAGATTGGCTAGAGGGAACGTAGCACCAAAGTTAGAAAGTTCATCATCACACTCGGTATCTAAGGCCGCGCTTAATTTAGTTTGCAATGTGGCAATGTCACCAGCTGCAAGAGCAACTTGTCCCTCCTGAAGCATATCAATTATGGTCTGGAAAGACTCATTGCATGTTCCTTGAAGGGACTTTTTTGCTGCAGGTGACAAGTTACCAACTGCTGGTGCAATCAACTCATTCTTTGATTGGAGTTCCTTAGCTTGAGATAGTGTTGCATTAATGGCATTTCCTATGGCGTCATGCCAGTTGGTTGCGCCATTGATCATGGAATTGCAAAGGATTCTGGTTCGCCGCACTGTTCTGCAAAAAGGGCTGACCTGGATTCGTGTTGCTACGACACTTTGGACGAAAACAGAGGCCATTATAGTCAGAAGAAGAAATGAGAAAGAGTTGAACTTTTTGTAGGCCATGGTTTTGAATTATTTTCTTGCCTTTTTTATTTTCACTTGCAAAAGGTTCTCGTCTCTCTCTCTTTTTTCCTCCTTTGGACTTCTTGAACTTGTGGATTAGAGAGGAATGACTCTTTCTCTTGAAACCCATCATATCTACATCCTCTCTGGACCCTATTTTCTTGCTTTAAACTGTTCATTGTTGTTGTTGTCTTAAGACCACAAAGATTTGAAGTTCTCCATACTTATTGGAAAGTTCTATTATTGGTAACCATTTATTTATTTAATCCCAAGTTGGTAAATAATGATATAGAAAGAGGGAGTGGTGTAAATGAACCCAATATTTATGTCACGAACAATAATCTAGCTACAAAATGGGAATTGTAAATTAGATTTCTAGAGATGCAACAAATTCAAAATTAATCTAACTATGTTAGTTTAAGGATGGGTTCGGTACATCGTAAAGGAATAGTTTTATCTTACTCATTTTTTTGCCTTAGCATTTCATCTCTTATATATTAAAAAAATAAAAATAAATTATAAATTATATTTTCTATAAAATGAAAATGGAAAATATATTGAGCCATATTAAAATAGTAAAGTACACTAACAATTTGATTTTTTTTTCCTAATATATATACACATCAATATCTATAATGGCACAATGCAAACAGGTGATGTTGAAATAATGATTTGCCTCTTGATCTGCAAAGAGGAGTCACATCTATTTCTATCTTATGCGGATAATATATGGTTTTCTATAACAACTAATCTACCAATTTCTTAATTTTCTAAACAAGTATTAATAAATTCATAAAAACTTTCTAACGAACAATAAAGTAAGGTTGATGAAGTATATTTATCTAATGGCTTAAAATATAAAAACTTGAAACAATATATTTGTAAGATCTTAGAGTATTTTACTGTTCAACAAATTTATTTCTTCGGGGTTTTCTTAGCTCTCTCTTAACTTTTTCTCGACCTTCTAAAAAGGCTTAAGATCGTAATCAAAAAGATTTTTGTCATGTTTAAAAAGGCTTGAAGAAATTCCCTTAATTGGGATACAACATGGCTAACTTAACTCAGATGATTACTTTATCTTTTGGTCATGGAATCCAAAATAAAGAGGTTAAAAACGTTAGAAATATATTTGAAAAGAAAATAAAACATTATAATATTACTTCTAAATAAATTAATTACTTACAAGTGTGTGGCTTAAATTAAAAGTAAAAAAATCCTTCTTCAATAGTCTGACCGTACGCTCTTCTTTTATAGATTCCTTCTCTAATAATCGTCCTTTAGTAGTGTTCCTTGCCCTTCTTTTCATGGTTTGCCTTTAATAATTGCGTCTTGCTTAATATATGTGAAAAGAACCTAGTAATCTTTTCTTTGTATTTTCCTTAGTTACGAGCGACTAATTCTGTAATTAGGATTGATGTAGCTTAGATTATTGATGTTTAATTAATTCAAAGACTTCGTGTTCATATTTATGTTTTGTTAATTGTTTATTGTGTGCTTTATTTAATTTAATTACTTGATCACCAATTGATAAGTTTAGAAGATAACATTGATACTGAGAGGTGATCTAGCTCATGCAATGTGTGACATAGGTCTTAAGGGGAGCTACTCTTATAGGTTAGAAACTTTAATTGAATTTGTGTATAAGAATTTACATAGAGATATAGTAAGTTTATTCATGTAAAAAGGACTAGTTTTACTCGAGAAATATCACTAATTAAATTGGATAATTCAGTTGTTAACACACAAATAGGTTTGTAGAATATGCTTAATTCCTTTGTATTAACTGGATAATGATATCTGAATTCCTAACAATTTATACATGTAAAATCCTCCGTAAAGTTTTGAGTATTGATAGTGTTAGTATAAATTAGTATAGATTTCAATTTTAAATTCATTCTTAAACCATTATTAATAATCACATTAGTTTAAATTGAAGCTAGGATTAGATTACATTGACGTAAATAATTAGCCTTTGAGGTAGCTACACTTGAACTCACATCCATATTACTAGTTATGATGATGTACACTTAAGGTTTAGGAGAAAACCTTTTATTGGTACAAGTAGGTGGAACCAAGCCATAATGCATGTGATAAATGTATTTTATATACTTATTAGGGGTCTAAAATAGAGATATTTGATAGTTCTTTTGATAAAATATATCCTAAATTGTTGTATTTTATGTTATATAGGTAAAACTCAATGGTTGGACGAAAAATTGAAAGAAAGAAGCGAAAAATGGTGAAAATTGCAAAATCAAAAGTTTGAAGATCAAATTATAAATATTCAATAGTTGATTCGGACCAAAATATGAGTTGGAAGAATCTTAGGAGACAATTGGATGAAATTTGAATTCAAAAAGGAATAAAATGTGATCAAAATATTATCACAATCAATGTCCAATCGCACAAGTTATATTCCATATTTTTAGTCGAAAATTAAAACCCATTTTTGGTATAGTAAACGTCCGAATTGGGAAAATTATACTTCTATCAAAGTTGTAGCCCTTCGAGTTATCTTGCCAATGAAGTTTGAATCTCTTCCATCGGATATTCGACAAAAAAAGTTATGGCTAAAATACTGAATGCTGTGCAGAGACAAAATTCGTGCGCGAAGATAATTTTCCTTATTCAATTGAAATTCTTTGGGAAGCCAATTTGGACGTGATTTTCAACCAATTTTCGACTCTTACAAATACTTAACAGCAAAAGACGTATTGAGAGCTCTATGTACATATTATACTCCATTATTCATCAATTATTATCATCAAATGAGGAGAATTCATAGTTTTTGTGAGAGAATTGAAGAAAATTTGCAAAAATTCAATCAAGTGAAGATTCAAATCTAATTTTTGGCTAAGAAAAGAAGGTGCAAGGGGAGATTCATCAAGAAACTATTGAAGAGATTCAAGATTTCAAGATTCTTCTTCATCTTCTTAATTTATCAAAAATTCAAGTTATATCTTTTCACTTAAATATTATTTCTTGTAATTTCAATATGTTGGGCTAATTTTATATATTGCTAAGATGAGATGAATTCTTGTTGTGATATTTTTTAGTTTTTAATTAATTATTTTGACTTTAAATTGATTTGATTTGTGGATGTTTATTATCATTTTATCGTTTTTTTCAATTGTTTGATTGTCAATTGAATGACAATAAAGTTTAAGCACAATATAATAAATATTGTAAAGTTTGATAGAGGATAGAGATATACCTCTATACTTTATATGATTTCAATATGTGTTCTAGTGCTTGTTAATGCATTTATCATATTTGCATTTTTCATCGAAAGATAGGAGGGTCACAGGAGGGGAATAGATTGATTGCTATCGAGAGAGGCTTTCAATTAAATTATAAGCATTAACCAACATAAATGATTTCAAATTGTCTCTTTAATTGTTACACTAAAAATGAAATAATAAGGCGAATTCGACATCTTAGCAATGTATCTCACATATTTTAAAAACACATTTACTTACTTTCATTAATTTAATTGATAGTTTAGGGATTAATATAAAAAAAGCACAAAATATGTTTGCTATTCGATTAAAGTTGCAATTAATTTTAATTCGATCAAACACCTAGTCATTGTGGATTTGACACTCTATTCACTACTTTATTACTTGTTCACGATCTCGTTTACTTACGAGAAATCAAACGATCAGCATGGTCACTACCTGTGGTGAACATGTTATCTAAAACACTCTACACAAAATTTCAACAATCATGGAATCAACACCTATCTAAATAGCACTCATCACCGGATCAACCACCCCCAAAATGAAGATTCAAACCTAATTTTTGGCTAAGAAAAGAAGGTGCAAGTGGAGATTCATCAAGAAACCATTGAAGAGATTCAAGATTTCAAGATTCTTCTTCATCTTCTTAATTTATCAAAAATCCTAGTTATATCTTTTCACTTGAATATTATTTCTTGTAATTTCAATATGTTGGGCTAATTTTATATATTGCTAAGATGAGATGAATTCTTGTTATGATATTTTTTAGTTTTTAATTAATTATTTTGACTTTAAATTGATTTGATTTGTGGATGTTTATTATGATTTTATCATTCTTTTCAATTGTTTGATCATCAATTGAATGACAATAGGGTTTAATCACAATATAATAAATATTGTAAAGTTCGATAGAGAATAGAGATATACCTCTATATTTTATATGATTTCAATATGTGTTCTAGTGCTTGTTAATACATTTATCATATTTGCATTTTTCATCGAAAGATAGGAGGGTCACAGGAGGGGAATAGATTGATTGCTATCGAAAGAGGCTTTCAATTAAATTAGGAGCATTAACCAACATAAATGGTTTCAAATTGTCTCTTTAATTGTTACATTAAAAATGAAATAATAAGGCGAATTCGACATCTTAACAATGCATCTCACATATTTTAAAAACACATTTACTTACTTTCATTAATTTAATTGATAATTTAGGGATTAATATAAAAAAAAGCACAAAATATGTTTACTATTCGATTAAAGTTGCAATTAATTTTAACTCGATCAAACACGTAGTCCTTGTGGATTTGACACTCTATTCACTACTTTATTACTTGTTCACGATCTCGTTCACTTGCGAGAAATCAAACGATCAGCATGGTCACTACCTGTGGTGAACATGTTATCTAAAACACTCTACACAAAATTTCAACAATCATGGAATCAACACCTATCTAAATAGCACTCATCACCGGATCAACCACCCCCAAACTATCTTTTCAATTTGTTAAGTGATTTTGTTTTTAATTGTGAGCTTATTTTTAACAATGCAAGTTCATTCAAATTATTCCCATTGTATACTCAACCCGAAAATACATGTTGATCAACATGACTAGTGTGCTCAAGATATTACAATATTGTAGAAGTAACACACTAGCAAAAGTTACACCACCTAGTCACAATTCACAAATCATCAATAATTCCAAATAA